TTCATGTTTTTAAAAGTTGCAGAAAACTCCTAAAGGATTTCAGGAAATTTGACCTTCGCGTTCGCGAGTAGGTCCTCGCATTCACGAAGGGTTAGATAGTGAGGCTGAGAAATTAGCCTTCACGTTTGCGATGAAGGCTTCACGTTCGCGAAGGGCTAGAGTCTTGTGCATCGCGTTCACGAGGTCCTTGCTGCGTTCGCGTAGAGTAATTTGATCAGCTGGGCTTGAGGCATTTTATTCATCGCGTTCGCGAGTGGTATAACGCGATCACGAAAGTTTAGTCTGAGGAAGCATCACATTCGCGATGGGCAGGTCGCGATTGCGAAGAGGAAATTATGGTCAAGGTTATTTTGTGCTTCGCGAATGCGAGCCTTTGACCGCGTTCGCGAAGAAGGAAATTTTACATGGGGCAGAATGTTTAAAAATGAGTTTCGCGAGCTTTGGTCTATTTTCTCCATTGTTGAGCGATTTTTGGAGGATTAAAGACGGAATCGACGGGTAACACTTGGAAGTAAAATTTTTGAACTCTATACTCGATCCTACGTTGATTCCTACTTGTTTAATCATGAAATATGTGGAAATTAAAGCCTAAAATTGGGGAATTAGGGCTTGTAGTTGGAGACTTAGAAATTGGGATTTGAGGGGCCATTTGAGGTCCGATTTTGACGTTCTTGGTATGTATAGACTCGTGAGAGGATGAGGATTTTATTGATGTGACTTTTATCGGATTCTGAGACGTGGGCTTGGGGGGTCGGGTTTGAGCAATTTCGAGATTTTTGATGTAAGTTGGATATTTTCGAGTGGGCTTTGTTCCCTTAGCATATTTTAATTGTTATGTACTGATTGTGGCTAGATTTGGAGCATTTGGAGGTCGATTCGTGCGGGCAAGGCATCGTAGGCTTGGGTTCGGACCTGATCGAGGTGCGTAATGATTGTAAATGATGTTCTGAGGGTTTGAAACTCCAGATTGCACATCGTAGTGCTATATTGAAGTGAGACACATGCTTGACGACGAGCGTGGGGTCGTTCACTATTGGGGATTGTGACTTGGTCCGTCCCGATTGATGATCTTACCGCGTATTTGACTGAAATCTATTTGTTATCATCATTATTTGGGCCGAATGCCATATTTGGGCTTCATGCCAACTATTTGAACCCTTCGGGGATTTTTGTTGATGTTTCCTCACTGTTTTGATTTTATGTTTAAACTCATTCATGTTATTTTCCACTATTTTCAAAACTCAGCCATTTTATTTTGCTTTAACACTTGAAATGATATTTCAAATAATATTTTGGGCTGAGCATCATGTTTTACTGTTGCCCGAGTGGCTTATGTGATTTTTGAATGAGTAAGGCCGAGGGCCTGTGTTGTAAGGATATCTTTTGGGTCGGGCTGCATGCCGCAACGGTGATACACAGACTTTAATTATGAGACTGAAAGCCTGAGATATGTACGCCACGAGGTGGCTTGTTAATATGAGGCCGAGAGCCTAGAGATGATGCCACGAGATGGCTTGATATTGCCATGAGGGGCCCCTCCAGGAGTCTGCACACCCCCAGTGAGCGCGGCTACCCATTGTGATGTGAGATATAGCTCGAGGGGCTGGTTTTGTTCAATGTGATTGCCCAAGGGGCTGGTATTGTTCTGAGATATTGCCCGAGGGGCGGATTTGTTGACATTGTGCCCGAGGGGCGAATCTTATGTGCTTATCTTTCTTATTTGCCTATCATGTACCCGTTTAATTGTGTATTTGTGCCCGAGGGGCGGATTTCTGTGCTTATCTGCACTAATTATTTTGCATTCATTTGCGCAACTGTTGAAAAAGTCATTTTCAAAGAAGTTTAAACTGAGCTAAGATATTTAAAGAGATTTTACAGCTTCATTGCTTTCTTACTAGTTTTTGAACTGCTTCTATACAGCATGTTGATGCACTTTTCGTGATTTCTTACCATTCAGACTTTAGTTATGATTGTTGCTCACTGAGTTGGAGTACTCACTTTACTCCCTGCACCTTGTGTGCAGATTCAAGTATTTCTGAACCCGATAGCGGGTATTGGCTTATCGGAGGCAGAGTCATTGGAGTTTAGCAAGGTAGTTGCCGGCGTTCACAACACTGCTTTTCTCCCTCTTGATGTCCTTGGAATGTATTTAGCCTATTTCAGAACTTAGTTGTATTTTAGACCTTAGTAGATGCTCGTGACTTGTGACACCCCGATATTGGGCTGTGTTTGGGCTATATTCCGCACATTATAAAATCTTTTGCTTAGTCTTTGGCTTATTTACTCATGCTTAGACTGTTTATAGATGTTTAACTATTTTAAATATTGAATTGAGACTAATTGGCTGGCCTTGTCTTCACGAGAGGCGCCATCACGACCGGGTCCGGGTTTAGGATCGTGACATACATGCGCTAAAAAATTCTGTCTTGCCACTAGGGAGCAACGACATGCGTATGTTTCTCTGAAAAAAGTTTCAAACTGCCAATATTGTGCTGCAAAAAGGTTCGAATACGAACCTCCAACATTTTATTGTGGCAGCGGTTCAGTAAGGCTAACCGCACATAAAATGCCAAATGAATTATCAAAGCTATATTTTGAAAATACGAAAGAATCCGAACATTTTCGAACTTACATTAGAACGTACAATAATATGTTTTCATTTACTTCACTTGGTGTAAAGTACGATAAAGAGTTGGCGAAAAGAAATTGTGGTATTTACACAGTTAGAGTCCAGGGACAGATGTATCATTTCATAGATGATTTGGTTCCTTCTAACAAAAAACCAAAAAATTTATAATTATACTTTTATGATCGTGATAACGAACTAGCCAACAGAATGGCTTGCTCAACAAGAGTTAACAAATCGATAGTGCAAAAGTTGATGGGCATATTAAAAATCAATCCATATACTGTTTTCCTACGATCTCTCTTAAATGTTCCGAAGTTAGAAGATTTCTATATTGCACTTAGATGTGACTCAGCCTTAGACCAACGAACATATAACTTACCTAGTGCATCAGAGATTGTAGCAATATGGGAAGAAAATTTTGGAAATACTATTTCTGCACCACATATACGAATTTATACCCATAGTAATAGAGCTCAATTAGTAAATATTACTACGGCTGTTATGATCTTTTGCAGTATCCCTTATTGTTTTCGTACGGTGAAAATGGATGGCATTGTAGAATAAAAAAATTACTCACATGAATAGGAATAGAGCTCACTGTGAACATGAGCAACTGCTCAACATAGAAAATATGTATTCAGTTGACGGATTTCTCGACATGGAAGCAGAATCGCTACAAAAAGGAAAACGAAAAAGAGATACAGTATCCTGTCGAGAGTATTATTGTTACGAATTTCAAATAAGAGATAATGAAACAAACAAAGTAGTACATTGTGGAAGAATATTTCAACAATTTATAGTAGACGTATATATAAAGCTTGAAACACAAAGATTAGATTTTTTCACATTTAATCAGGATTTATTTAGAATTGAAGTGCTGCAAGGAATTCTTGACATTTTGAGATATGGTGAAAGAGAAGCCTCTAAAATCGGAAAGAAAACATTCCTCCCTGTTACATTTATAGGTGGACCAAGGGATATGCATCGACGATATATGGATGTTATCGCATTGATGCAGTGTTTTAGAAAACCTGATTTGTTTATAACAATGACATGTAATACATCTTGGCCGGAAATAAAAGAACATCTACGATCAAGTGATGAGGTACAAAATAGACCTGATTTAGTTAGTAGAGTATTCAGAGCAAAAATAGAAGAACTAATAAAAGATATATTGAAAAGGCAAATCTTTGGAAAAGTTGCATGATTTATGTACTCTATTGAATTCCAAAAACGCAGTCTTCCACATGCTCATTTTCTTATAATACTTGTTGATGAAGAAAAATTATTGACTCCTGAATCTTATGATAAATTTGTTTGTGCGGAATTGTCTGATGCTATTAAAGATCGTTATTTGTATTCACTTGTTACTCAACATATAATGCACGGTCCTTGTGGAAGGTTAAATCCGACAAATATTTGCACGAAAAAGGGTAATTGCAAATTCAAATATCCAAGAGATTTTGCTGATAAAATGTCACAAGGAAAAAATTCTTATCCAATATATAGAAGGAGAAAAACTGGAGAAACTGTAAAAATAAGAACTCAATTTTTAGACAATTCGTGGGTTGTTTCATATAATCCTTTTTTATTATGCAAGTATAACTGCCATATGAATGTAGAAGTTTTGTTCTGATATCAAAGTAGTTAAATATATTTACAAATATATTTGTAAAGGACATGATAAAATTGCTTTTCATATACACAACAGTGATACAAATACAAACATAAATGAAATAAAAGAATATCAATCGGCTAGATGGGTTTCACCTCCGGAAGCTGCTTGGCGTTTATTTAGTTTCCCAATTAGTGAAATGACTCCAGCTGTGTATCACCTTCAGTTACATTTAGAAGGACAACAATTTGTTTCCGTTAAAAGTTCTGAAAGTATAGATAGAATTATAAGAAATCCGATGATTAGAAAAACAATGTTAACTGAATTCTTTGTTATGAACCGCCAAATAAAGATACTATGCAACTTTCGTTATTGTATAAAGAATTTTCCAAATACTTTGTATGGTCAACAACATATAAAATGTGGACACGTCGCATAAAAGGCAAGGTTATTGGACGTGTTGTGACATGTCATCCAATAGAAGGAGAAAGATATTACCTGAGATTACTGTTGATGAATGTTAGAGGACCCAAATCATATCAAGATTTACTAACAGTTGATGGAATATCTTGTAGTACATTTAGAGAGTCTGCAGAAAAAAAAGGATTATTGCACTGTGATAACAGTTTAGTCGAATACATGTTTGAAGCTGTAAGTTATCAAATGTCATATAGTTTAAGACACTTGTTTGCAACATTATTGGTGTATTGTAATCCTATCAATCCAGCAGAGCTTTGGAAATAATTTGAAGATTCAATGTCAGAAGATTTTAAGATTCTACCGAACACAAATGCGAAAGATATTCGTTACATGACTTTAAATCATATTAATGACATTTTGCATTTGATAGGGCATGATATTAACGAATATAATTTTGTGCCGGAAAGAATTACACTATCACCAGCTGTTAGAGAAGCCAAAGATTGTCATTTCGAAAGAAATATTACTGTTAGAGAAGAGGATTTGTTACTAGAGGCAAAGTTGAACACTGAACAACGGAAAACATATGATAAAATTCTTAACATGATATTTTCTAACCAATCAGGTGCCTTTTTTATTGACGGACCTGGTGAAACTGGAAAAACTTTTTTATACCGTGCTTTGTTGGCTGTTGTACGATCAAAAGGCTTTGTCACTTTAGCAATAACAACTTCAGGGGTTGCGGCTTCGATCCTCCCAGGAGGACGAACTGCTCACTCCCGTTTTAAATTCCCTACTGAAATTGATGAACAATACTCTTGTAATATTAGTAAACAAATTTCATTAGCAGCTTTAATACATTATGCCAAACTCATTGTATGGGATGAAGTATCTATGGCAAAAAAGAAAGTGATAGAAGCTTTTGATGTTCTCTTGAAGGATCTGATGGATACAAAAGCTCTATTTGGGGGGAAAAGTAGTTGTTTTCGGTGGTGACTTTAGACAAACCATCTCGGTTGTTCGGAACGGAAAAAAGAAGATTTTATTTAAGAAAGCTTATTGTATTCTGAAATTTGAAATCAACTTGAGAAACTGCGATTATCAGAAAATATGCGAGCTAAAACAGATCCTTCTTTTTGTGAATATTTGCTGAGAATAGGAAATGGAGAAGAAAAAACAGATAACTATGATAAAATAGAAATTCCTGATTATTTTGTTATTCCTTTCATTTCTGAAAAGGAATCATTAGATCTTTTGTTTAGAGCAACTTTTCCAGATTTACATACATGTTCTGATATGTTTTCTATGACTTCACGCGTAATTCTGATGACAAAAAGTGACTTTGTTGATGAAATGAATGAGTTGCTCATAGCTCACTTTCCTGGAGATGCTAGAACATATATTGCATTTGATGAAACTATTGAAGCGAATGATCAGAGTCAATATGAAGATTTTTTGCATACATTACATTCCGCTGGTTTACCTCCCCATAAATTGACATTAATAAAGCATTGTCCTGTTATTCTGTTATGAAACTTAAATTCATCCCAAGGTTTATGCAATGGCACAAGACTTATATGTTGTGACCTTCAAAAGCATATTATAAGTGCCAAAATTGTAAGTGGAGATTTTAAGAATGCACATGTATTTATTCCAAGAATACCATTGTTATCATCTTCTGATGAAAATTGCCCGTTCCTTTCAAGAGAACACAATTCCCATTGCGATTATGTTTTGTTATGATAAAAAATAAAGCTCAAGGTCAAACATTGGACTTTGTTGGAATTTATTTACGTGAACCTATTTTCTCACATGGTCAACTCTATGTGGCCTTATCAAGAGCAAAAAGTTCCCACTTTGTTATTAATTATTAATTCGACCACCAACAACAGATAGCAACGATGATCATTCGACGTACAATATAGTTTATAACGAAATCATTCGAAAAGCTTTACATAAATAGATTTTCTGAATGGCCCAAGATCCCCATGCTTCTGCAATTCTGTAATTCAGAGAATCAGAACATTGTCTCCAGCATTGCTGTTGAGGTATTTTCAAAACTGTTTGTTTTATTATAATTTTAAGTTTTTTGATATATTGTTCAACCTGTGAAGAAATTCGAATAATTCTTGTGAATGTAAATTAGTAAAGAAACCATCCACATACATCAGATTTGCTTCTTTTTTAATTTTCTTCATTGGGAATTATAGACTAATTCTTTTGTATCTATTTCTATTTTTTAGTTAGCATTATCCTTTTTTAGCAGGTAAGTTTACCACTTGCGATCATAGAATAAATTTATTTTTCGTTTAATGTTTCGAACTGATCATAGGGTGCAACTGAAATACTTGAAGAAGCATTTGTTTGTTGTTTATGTTTTACTGTTTAGAGAGCTTTTACCGTGTGGTATAAACAGAAAATGTATCAATAGTTTAATAGTAACTCAACATATAGCACAACCAGTCATACCAGGATAACGGAGAAGGTTTTAACTCAAGTGCTCGCTAGTAAGATCTTGTTGCACTGGGCATCTTTAGATTTACGTGTATTGCTAGCTAGACTGTCACAACCCCGGTTCGCCCTTCATGAACCATCGTGACGGCACCTAGTCTCTACGACTAGGTAAGCTTAATTTGCGGAAGAAAATTAAAACTTGCGGAAGTAAACAATTTAAAACAAAAATAAAGCAGTAACATTGTATAAATGTGCCGCTCGGTATATACCATGTTTAACTCTCAATACCAAACATAAATCCAAGACCCGAAAACCCATGAATCACAAGCTAAGAAAAGAAATACTACATAGCTCTAACTTCGGAATTTCTAGTAAAGAATAGAAAAGTACAAAAGGGCTAAATACTAAAGGCAGGAATAGAAAGGGACTCCTTGGTCTGCGGACGCGGCAGATGTACCTCGGAGTCTCTAAGCAGTCGCCTTCCTCAACGATAGTAGGCCTGATCAGCGGTACCTGGATTTGCACATGAAAAACATGCGCAGAAGGGGCATGAGTACACAACAACGGTACTCAGTACGTGCCAAGCCTAACCTCGGTTGGGTAGTGACGAGGAAGGTCAGGGTCCTACTAAGGTGAAATACAATATGAGGGTTAACAGTATGGAATAAAACAGTATAAAAAGTGCAAAAGTAAGAAATAACATAGAATTGACAGAACAACAACAACTAGATCAAAGACAAAACAAGCCACAGAAAGAAATACAGCTCAACACAGAGATAACAACCGAGGCGCCTCCAGGATACCGTCCTGTAGTCCCAATTACAACTGTCCAGTAGATATCCCAGGATACCGTCCTGTAGTTCATCATACATATGTCCGAAGGAACTCCAGGGATTCGTCCCGTAGTCCCAAATGTAAATACCCAGTACTGGGGGGAATCTACCGGGTGGATTCCCGTAGTTCCATATAACTGTGCAGGGGAATCTAACATGTAGTCCCAAAGTAAATGTGCAGGGGGATCTAATAGGAATCTAACCCGTAGTCCCAAAGTAAACATACAAGGAATCCCACATCCGTAGTCCCAAAATACACAACAACAGGAAAATATCCAGAAATGACAAAATTTCATATTAAGACAACAAGCGATTCTAGTCTAGCATGTTGCACAGAATTCAAGTAGGACAGGTTGAATCAAATAAAGGAAATTAAGTCAATTAGACATGCTTTCCTAAGCTAATAACAGACTTAATAGTGCAAGAAATAGAAACAGGAAATGAAACATACTAGTAATTACATAAGAAAACCGGATTTCCAATAATTAGCACAAGTACGTACTCGTCACCTTACGTATAAGGCATTTCAATTACCAAATATACCAATCATAAGGGAAAGGTCCCCCACACAAGATTAAACAAGCCACTTACCTCGAACCGACTCAAAATCAACCCAGCACCATGTTTTTGCCACGAGTACTCGACTCCAAAGGGCCCAAATCTATTCAATTCGATTGCATAATGTAAATAACACTTCAAGTAACTGATTCTACAATTAAATTCTAAGCTAATACGGGAAATTATATAAAATGACCAAAATGCCCCTCGGGCCCACTTCTTGAAATCAGGTAAAATTTAAATTTTCAGAATCCTCATACTCTCACGAGTCTAACCATGCCAAAATTATCCAATTCCGATACTATTTGGTCCTTCAAATCATTATTTTACATTTTTGAAAGATTTCACAAGTTTTCTTCCCAAATTCCATCCCAAATCACGAATTAAATGATAAATTCAATGATGGATTCATGTACTCTAGCCAAATCTGAGTTAGAATCACTTGCCCCGATGAATTGCTTGAAAAACCTTCAAAATATCGCCTAAATCCGAGCTCTCTAGCTCAAAATATGAAATAAAACTCAAAACCTCGTATTTATAAGACACCCCCCGGATTTCCACCTCAGTGGACCGCAGAAAAACGAGCGTGGTCCGCACAAAAATGACTGCGGCCGCACAGGTTTTGACTGCAATGACAGGATTTAGTATATTGGCCATAATATTCACTACAGATGTCCAAATTGTGATTTCTTTTACTTTCTGGAAACTAGATACGCAGGGCTACAACTTTCATTTTTGAATCATCCCAAAATTCCTTGTAAATCAAAAGATATGAGCTTTCAAAATAGGACCAGTAAAATTTTCCTCACCGCGGACTGCACTGCATTTTGTATGGCCGCACAGCCCCCACCGTGGACACACTGGACTTTGTGCGGACCGCACTGGTGGGTTCCAAGGCCTGCAACTCTTCTGGACCTGCAACAGCTATGATTTGCGGCCTAAAACATCCCGGAACCTATCCGGAACTCACCCGAGTCCCCGGGACTTCAAACCAATTGTGCCAACACATCCCATGGCATCGTTCAAACTTGTTCAAAACATCGGAACGCTCACAACAACATCAAATCACCAATTTAACATAGGATTCAAGCCTAAGAACTCCAAAAACTCTTAACTTATGCTTTCAATCAAAAAGTCTATCAAATCTCGTCCGAACGACCTGAAATTTTGCAAGCACGTCACATTCAACACTACGGAGCTACTCCAGTTTTCGGAATTCCGTTCCGACCCTTAGATCAAAATCTCACTATCGGACTGGAAACTTCAAATATTCGACTCTCGCCATTTCAAGCCTAAATTAGCTACGGACCTCCAAAACACAATTCGATCACGCCCCTAAACCCGAAATCACCCAACGGAGCTAACAGAACCGTTAGATTTCCATTCCAAGGCCGTCTTCACACTGTTCTGACTATGGTCAACTTTCCAACACTTAATATCTCATTTAGGGACTAAGTGTCCCAAAACTCCCTGAAACTCAAAACCGAATGTCCCGGCAACTCACATTAGCAGAAATAAACTTGGGGAAAGCAGTTAATAGTGGATCGGGACATTAATTCTTAAGACAACCGGCCGGGTCATCACATCCTCCTACTTTTAAACATTTGTTCGTCCTCGAACGAGCATAGAGACATACCTGAAGTAGTGAAAAGATGAGGGTAACGGCTGCGCATATCCTGCTCAGTCTCCCAGGTNTGCTCGGTCTCCCAGGTCGCCTCCTCGACCGGCTGGCCTCGCCACTGAACCTTTACCGAAGCAATGTTCTTTGACCTCAGCTTTCTAATCTGCCTGTCCAATATTGCCACTAGCTCCTCAACATAAGATAGATCCTTTTCCAACTAGACTGAACTGAAATCCAACACGTGTGACGGATCACCGTGATACCTCCGGAGCATCGAAACATGAAATACCGGATGAACTCCTGCCAAGCTGGGAGGTAAGGCCAGCTCATAAGCAACTCCCCAACATGCATCAATATCTCAAAAGGGCCAATAAACCTTGGACTCAACTTTCCTTTCTTCCCGAACCTCATAACGCCTTTCATAGGCAAAACCCGAAGAAGAACCCGCTCTCCAACCATATAGGAAACATCACGAACCTTCCGGTCCGTGTAACTCTTCTGT